TGGTATCCACATTTTAGCGGATTTAGTCTAACCTATCCTCACTCCCCGTTGCTTTCCTAATTTCCCTCCTACTTGTGTTGAGAGTGTTAATTTAAGTCTACTCTTTTATTCCACAATTCTCTTCATCCAGATCCTATTAAAGTCTGCCTCTGATCCAATAGGATCAGTCTTTTATCTTCCTTCTTAAGTGATTTCAGTTGATCACTGCCACCATATCCGTTCTACAAGAGGTGTTATATTCTAAACTCTGCCTCAAGCTGGATGGACTACTAACTTAGTGCCGCAGATTCCCTTGTCTCTTTTTGGTATCTGCATTAAGTGAATCTGATGGTCAAACCTTTTCTTCACGATCTATGATCACATCTGTCTACTACTAAAGGCCACGTAAGCTTGGCCTTCATATTTTTGATTATGTATTTATGTTAAAAAAGCTTGGATTTTAGTTTGTTTTATGTGAATAAATATAATCATGACTCCTTGCGCCATAGTTTTAAATTATCTTTTTGTTTATAGAGTTGCTACAATGGGCAAGCCCGATGTGTTCCTATTAGCTGTGACCTGGGAAAACTTTCATACAAAGCGGGTCCAATATCTCTGGAGTTTGTGGCTCGCCTTTGGGAAAATACCATGCGCGAGGTAAGTATAACAAAATCACAAATTAACTTTTTTTTAAACGGAGTTTATCTTAGAAGTTGTTTGACCCTGGCTTCGCAACTTGGTCATATTAGCAGGAAGACTTAGAGGAACGCAACTTGTCCGGAGTCCATAGTATGCATGAACATTTCCAGAGTCTGACCGTGGACTTGGTACATTCCCAGATGTTTCGCCGGCATCGTAGTCGGCATCATCTATGAATCTTACCAATCTCAGCAACCAAGCTACAACTCATCAAAGAGACAAATGAGGTCAATCCCTTGACCAACTTTCAGTCGAGACGGTTATGCTATCACTCCTCGTTTTGTCCTAGTCCCTCTATCCATTTCCTACCCTCTAGTTTCGCCCTCGTCCTACCACAACTTCTGAGATGTTTATATGCCATAAGAGATGTACCCTTTTGGAGAATTTACCGTGGCGTCACCACACCTACTGCTTGCCTTGCTCCCCTTCCGTTCGAGTGGCTCGTCCTGTTATAGTCTCCTGTCCGGATCTGCCTTATGGGCCCGTGTATCCGTTTCTCATCTTTCTGGCTGACAGATTTTACTCGGTTCCAGTCCCAGCGTACTTCTACTCCAGGTGCTATCTCTCAAGCCTTCAGTAGCACGTACAAAGTCGCCTCATCTACCTAGCACCTAGACTATGATTCCCATGCTTGAGGATATTAGGCATTACCTTCACGCATCATCCCCCAGATTAAACCCTTGTACCCTGAGCAAACTATGGACCTCTATCTCCGTTCGCCTGCTGCACCTCCAGTTGATTATTAGTGCATTTGGTCGTAATGACCGATTTCTGTGACCCAATCCCTCTTCGTAGTCACGTGAAACGTCGAGCCTCCAAGTTGTAGTTGTTTAATCGAGCTGACTGCCCTCATGGAAAACGTCTTCGTTTCATTTCTGAAACTTCCCCACCCTCTTCTTACTTGCGTTTCCTTTTCCTCTGATTTACAATAGATCCTTGATCCCGGCGTCTCCTTTTTGCTTATCTTGTTGTATCCCTGTTTTCTCTGAGTTTGATTAGATAATAGGCAAAGTTATCACAAAATCTGCCTTCTTCCAATCTCCTGTTCATTACATTTTTTCCTCCAAGAATGTCAACGGCCTCGATAATCTTCCATTTCTTTGTACTTTAACTTCATGAGGTGCTTCGTTCTGTTGCCTTTCAATTTATCTCGTGTCCAGTCTCTGTGATATGTTCCGCTATATCTGATCTATCCATATCCATTTTCCTGCAGAGCCTTTGATGTTCCTTGATTCGTATGTTGATCTTTCCCCCAGTTTCGCCAATGTATTTTAGTTCGCAGACGCTATGCTATGCAATAAACTCCTGATCATTTCTCTTTGTCTATCCTCTCATGCTGTGTGGGAAGATTTGTGAAGAGTGATGTTTTTTCCTTCGTGGTCACCTGAATATTCCATTTTCTTAATATTGGCCGTAGTTTTTAAGCTAGTTCACGGGAAGGAAGACATGTCCACTTTTGTGAGTCCTCCATTTTTATCTTTCTTTCATAATCTCTGTCCTGCCATCGGCTCTTAGCGGCTAGTATTTTTCTTTGAATTACTTCTCTCGGATATCCATTACCGAGGAATATCCGAGTCAATTATTCATCCCAGAATTTAACATCTATTCATCGTAGGCTCCTCAGTATGCCTATCTGCATTCTGTAGTTGGGATGAGATTCGAAATAGAGTATTATTCCGGTATAAGATTTCTTTGGGAACAATTTTATCTTGAGTGTTCCAGTAGAGCGGATAACCCCACATCTAGTAAGGTCAAACGCCCCTCTTCCTCTACATCCATAGTGGATTTGATTTTTCATCAATCCCGTTCAAAGACTTCAAGAAATCCTCCAACTTATCCCTTCCATGCGACCATATTGCAAAGTAGTCATTCAGGTACCGCATAAGAACTCTTGGTTGCAGCGGTGACACCTTGAAATTCTCTTCTAATTTGTCCATATATACATTTGCCAATAGAGGGGAGAGAGGTGATCCCATAGGAAGTCCAAATGTATGTTCATATATGTTGCCATTGAATGTGAAATAGGTAATACTTATTTTCAAGTTGATTAATCGTGTTAACGACTCCCTTCTGATACTATCTGCTTCTAGGATAGCATCATCTCGATCTAAAATTTCTAGCAGGGCCGTCAGCGCCTTTTCTTCAGAAATGCTTGTGTACATCGAGTGTACATCAGACCCTACCAGTAATTCCGTTTTTTTCAGGGTTATGTTTTTGATCATCTGAGAAAATTCATATGAGTGCTTCACTGTGTTTGACAATCTGTCGTTTACCTTCTTAAGTTTCAGACATATGGACTTGGCTAATTTGTGTGTTGCTCCAAACTTGTTGTTAACTATCAGTCTTAGTGATTCTGCTTCTTTGTGTAGCTTCGGTAACCCGTAGGCTGTTGGTGGTCGTGCATCCTTTTTTATTAGTGAATGTATTGTCAATCCATTAATCTCCCCGTTCCTGTTCATATCCTTTAGCATGTCTTCATAATTAGGTCCTTCTTTAGTAGACGATAGGTAGTCCTGTCTTGCAGTTTACATTCCATTTTTTCGGTATATTGTTTTCTGTCCATTACCATTGTCCCTCCTTCTTTGCCCGCCTGAAGGACCAATTGTTCATTTTTTTCTAGGGTTCTTCGTACCCTCCCAAAGCTGGTTATATGCGTTGGTTCATAATGTGTCAAGATTATAGGGATTATTTCCATCTCTATTTCCCGTTTTTTCGCCGGAGGGAACTTGTCGTAGATATTGATAACCTCCACCAGAATATTCTCTAGAATATTTCTGCCATTTTGAAAAGAAAACTTTAGTCCTTTGTTTAGGGTCGTTGTGGTTTTAGGATCAAGGGGAAGTGAGGATAAATTCACTAGCTTCTTCCCTTCGTCGTAATGTTCAGTAGGTGTCGTCGCCTTGGGAGCCCCTTCAACTGGGCGCACTAGCTTTAATCTACATTGTCTTATGATTCCATACCTAAGCAATGTATTGTCGTGTTAAAAAAATTAAGTCAGAGATCCCACCTGATTTTTGGTCGGCCATACTCTGGAGTTGATAAAAATCCTTCGGAGTCAGAATCATGGCCAGATCACGCCGGAACTTTGACTTAATATCTATAAACTTAGATAGCTTATTCCTTTTTATATCATAGGTTTCATTTAACTTATGCAAGGAAGCCTAGTGAATAATCTCATTAACCCTATCTGAATGGAAGTGTCTCTTAAAGTCACAAAATCCAGGAGTGATACCATAACGTTTAGAACAGTTTAAAAAGGCCAAATGGCATGATTGATTTACAATTGTCTTCTTTGTCAGGCTCTAATTGGTGCATTGTTTGGCAATCGTACTTCCATAGTTTAATTGACGGTATGAATACCAGGATGGTGTGGCCTTTTGTGTAGTCGCGTAACCGTCTCGATATAAATTTGGTCAATGGATTGACTTCACTTCTCTCTTTGACGAATTGTAGCTTGGTTGCTCATAATGGCAAGACTCACTGATGATGCCGACTACGATGCCGTGGAAACGTCTGGGAATGTACCAAGTCCACGGTCCGACTCTGGATATTATCATGCATACTATGGAATCCGAACAAGGTAAATTACTCTAGGTCTTCCTGCTAATAGGACTAAGCTGCGGAGGACTGATGAAGCAAACGTATATTTGCTATAAAAATCGGCTACGTTACTTATTTTCGTATTGAAGTAGAGTTTCGAGACTACCAGTAAATCAGTAATATGAGATGTATTCACCCAATTTCGTCTAAGGTGATGAAGACTGGTAGAAGAATTTTCCCACAAGTATATAAGTTGAGCTGACGTTTTCATTGAATTTCACATAGCCTTGCTTTCCCAAAAGTTATTCTCATCCAGGGTGGGCTGCAGTTTTGACCTCGCAAGAATATGATATAGCAAAGAGGCCTGACCTTCCTTGAAATTCAATTATGCCCTGTGACTCAAGGGTACTCGTGGCAGTGTAGCCGAGTGGTTAGCGTGTCAAGCTTCCATCCTGCACTGTCGCGGTTCGACTCCCGCTGCGGGTGTTGATAAGACCGATGCGAGGTCGAAACTGCACTCAACCCTGGATGAGAACAATTTTTGGGTAAGCAAGGCTATGTGAAATTCAATGGAAACGTCAGCTCAACTCATATCATTGTGGGAAAATTCTACTACTAGTCCTTCATCACTTTAGACGAAATAGGGTGAATACCTCTCTTATTACTGATTTACTGGTAGTCACAAAACTCTACTCCAATATGAAAATAAGCTGCGGAACCAAGGTCAAACAACTTATACACAACTAAAAGTGACCGGGACCATACAAAAGGCCACAACATTCTGGTCTTCATACCTTTGTCTTTATCTCAATTCATTTAAGGTTATAAAGGACTGGTAGCTGAATTTTCTCACCATGCTATGAGCAGACTAACGTTTCCATTGAGTTTGATACAGTTTTGCTTCCCAAATGGCATTTTAATCTATTGTAGACTGCAATTTTGACCTCGCCGATGTCTCATCGCAATCCCCAGCGGGACTCTAACTAGGATCCTGTAACTTATAGTCATGACACGCTAGCCACTAAGCCACATTGCCACGAGTACCCTCGGGTCATAGAGAAAAAGTGAATTTCAAGGACGCCCAGGCCTTTACCATATCACCTTTGGTGGGATTGTCGATGAAGCAAATTTGTATTTGCTATAGCAATCGACTACACTACTTATTTTCTTTCCTAAGTACACCTTAGAGACGTATCCGAAAGGACCTAGTTACACCAGATCTACTTGTAGTGACTTTTACTCCACATTCACTTTGGTTGCATCTCTCGTGGCAACCAACAGGTAATTAGTTATCTCTCAACTCACGCAACAGCCCTCGAAGCACGCATTACCGGTACTATGTGCCGCGGGGACTAAGCGAACCTAGCCACTGCACGTGGCACTACGTGGCATTAAAAGTACACTGGAGTGCACAAGCCAGAAACTCCTTGGAATAAGGCCTATTATCCGCAGCTCCCCTTGGACCGTTGTGGCCATGTGTGACCAAACGCTACTTTCTTGCGCCGACATCACACTTTCCATCCCGAATCCTCGCATGTAACTTTATCGTCTTCCATTCAAGGTACTTCATGATTCGTTTTCGTGTTTCTATATGCACGGCCAGAGTACTCTTTGTAGTAGCGCGAAATTGAGCACTTATTTATTGTGAATAATTTAGGTCAATAAATACTTATGGCTATAGTATTTTGAAGAATGCTTTCTATAAAAAGATATTTGCGGCTAACTTTTGACTTTTATAAAGACTCTAAATAAATATTTTGTGTGCGGAATTACGATTTTTCTGTATACGAAATGTTTATAATTTTTATTCACAAGAACTTCCTTCCACATAGACCACTTGCAATGTCTTGAATAATCCGCTTTTGGTGAAAGGCACATTTTAGGAGTGAATATGCATTAGAAAAAATGTTTTATCTACATTTCTCTTTTAATTAAATTTTCTGGAATTTGGTTGGTGGAGTATATCTACTTTTTTGGAGCAATGAGTAGCAGATCTTGTTTGATTCTATTTTTCGGATCATTTCTCTCTACCTTGGACACAACAACGAGCGTAAACTATTAGTCTTAGCAGCTAAACGGGTTGAGCAAGCCTCTTTGTGGAAGCTTAACCAGACCGACTAGCCCTATTTAATGTCTTACTTTTTCATGAATTTTAAATTTTTAGGACTTCAAAAATGTTTTTCTAGTCAGGCTTCAAATTCATGCAATCTGGCGGGCCAACGTTAAGTTCCATATTGAAATGAATGGCACTGACTATGCTTCTGATCAGGTAATTTTTATCCATTTTACTTTTTAATTCTATGATATTTTAAATTTAATGTATTGCTATCTATCTGTTGCTTTTATGATATTATGTAACTAACGTATATGAACTTGTATCTTTTATGATATTCTTATTTAACACTGTTTGATATTTCACTTGTTCTTATCACCATCAAGAAAGTGCGCTATATGAGTT